TTGTACGGAGATTTATGGTATATTTTCCTGCTCGATTTGACAAACGCGTTGTGATCAGTTACTGGAATGTACTGGTTCCTTTAAGTTGCCGTTGTTGTCGCTTCTGGTGCCTTCAATTAATGATTCTGAGCTACTCAAAAAAACAAAATTCTTGTCATTTTATGTTTTGTGCATGTTTCCAAAATCATTTAATATTAAGCAATGTGCAAGGCAGTGCACATAATATTTGCTTAGAGCTAAATAATCACAACTGACTGTAATCCGGTATAATGGTCAAACATAGTAGAACATCCATTATATGTTTGACCACACAGATTTTCAATCAAAGTGCCATGCTTTTCAAAACGATTCCACAGTTGACTGTACTTTCCTCTGTCTCAGAGCACACAACCATATCTAATAAATATTAAATTACTTCTACAACCATATCTAATAGATATTAAATTACTTATACAACCATATCTAATAAATATTAAATTACTTATACAACCATATCTAATAAATATTAAATTACTTCTACAACCATATCTAATAAATATTAAATAATATCTAATATCTAATAAATATTAAATAATATCTAATATCTAATAAATATTAAATTACTTCTACAACCATATCTAATAAATATTAAATTACTTCTACATTTTCACTGACGTATCTAAAACGAAAAAAGTTTGTCTTGTTTGCTGCTGTCAGATCTTGCATCTAGGTAGATGAAATCGTACTTTACCTTTTTAATGTTACAATAGCTTCACCAACAATCCCAGTACTGGAACTAATCATTTCATTTTGTGACGAAGGTGAGATGTAACCACGGTATCCAGGAGGTCCATCTTTGGCTTCTTGTATATATTCAGCCAGTTCTGGATTCTAGCGAGCAATAAGCTAAACAGTGTCAAGAGAAACTCCTCTGTTGGATGAGGGTTAAGTTTCATTGTGATCTCGAAGAGGAAAGTTTCTACGGAACAAAGTATTTATAACATCAAATAAAAGGTATAAAATATCACATCTCTGCTGTCTATTTTTGATTCCTAGACGTTTTTCTTTACAGTACAGTTTATTCTGTTGAAATTGCTCCAAACTTCCATACATTCAGCATGATGGTAGCCTTTGGCATGATCATCAAATATTTTCTTAGCTTCTATTGTCTTGGGTCATTGTTTAGAACCAACTCGTTAAAATGTAATGTTATAATGAGGTTAAGAAATGGCATAGAAAGCATGGAGCAGTGTCTTTTATTGTATTATAATGAATACAAAACGTGAACTATACCATTCAGGTTGAAAACATCTCTTCCAACTATTGAAATTAGTCTTAGAATAAGAGTACAGTTTTAGTTAGATAGGCCCATATCTCATACCTGATACACGCATTTTGGGAAAGACGATCCACTGCTGTCACAGATTCAACAAGTTCTTCACTTGCATCCTGAACCTGGAGTAGGTTAACAGCTGGAAGATATAAGCTTATTAGACCGAGATGTTGAAAAACTTTTAGCTGCTTTAGAGATCGAAGATGTTTCACAGGAAGATGAAGCAAAGAATTTCCTTATATCCGTTAGTGACACTTCTGAAAATAGAAAATAGAATACAAATATTACAGCTTCACTACTCTGTGTGCAATAAAGTAATTTTTTTATTATCATTGAATATAAATCATTATTTACACGATTGATGAACATGGAAAAAATATGGATATAACAGAATAAAGAGAAAAACAATAATGAACAAATCAAAAGGGATTTGCGGATGTTCAAATAATAAGATAAAAAATATATCAAAGGAAAACAGTAATTAAAATATATCGTACATAGGCTATTTAATTAAGCAATTGTACACGTCTGTTTGATTTCCTGGAAATTAGCGGTTGTGGACCTAATAGTTCCACAAATTATAACGAAAGATTGCCCGGAGTGTATAAAATCAAATATTCACCCAAGTGTCTTATAATGTTGTATCATTACTAGAATCGTCAGTTTTTTATTACTTGTACTATCTTTACAATATAAAAGTTGGGGTTGACTCCACAATGTATTTATTTAATGCAAGCATTCAAGCTCATTCATGAACTCTTCATCAGGAGAGAGACAAATTCAATATGGCACATGGTACTGTTAAAAGTATGTTCTCTTGAATACTATCGAGAAACTTATTCGTAAACTAGCTTTACTGTAAAATACACTAAAATATCTATACGCAAGGTTTAACGAGTTTTCTTAAAGTACGTGCTGTAAAATGTGCATTGGTGATTTTGAGGTCTTTACAAACTTATCAGATTACTTCCGGCATTTTCTAAGCAAGAAATCCGTTATCTGGTGGGACAGTGGTAAGTTTATGAACTTAAAATACTAAAGTCCCGGGGTTCGATTGCCCACGGTACACAGAGCAGACAGCCCAATGTGGCTTTGCTCTAGTACAAACAAATACAAAATCCCTAACTCATTTTCTTTCCACCAAATTATTAGAATTGATTTAAAATTAAACCTGGGTTTTTACAATGATGTTAGTTACTTTAAAGACAAAAATAATTGTAGATTTCGGTACAATCTGATAAGGACCTTAATAATCTACGTGCTCCCAGTGGCACAGCAGTATGTCCGCGGACTTACAACGCTAGAATGTGGGTTTCGATACCCGTGGTGGGCAGAGCACAGATAGCCCATTGTGTAGCTCTGTGCTTAATTACAAACAACAACAACAGCTCGTATTTGTTTTTATAGTGTAAAGCTATGCAATGAGCTACTCTGTCCATCAAGAGTAATCCAGCCCCGAATTTTAGCTTTGAAAGTTTGTAAAATTACCGCTGACCCATTGGGGATTTCGTAAGGAAAAATGTAAAAGGAAAGTAGCGACCTTTATCGCGGAATGTAATGAATATACTTGTATCATATTTCATAATACAAAGTATCTTATAGATATATAATTTTGAGGCCTGAAACAATCTGAAGCAATCATTAGGTCGGGAGTCACCTTTAACCTCTTTCAACGTGGAAATATTCGCTCAAAATATAAACAGAATAATCTTACATTTTCAGAAATTACGTGTTTATTACTTAATCAATTCTCTCTTCTGTCGTCTCTTTTGTCAAGATATACTTTGTAAGGTTTTTGCAATAATATAATCGTTTATTTAGAAACACAGAATACACAAAAGACTAGTGAATAATTTGTATAATGCACTAGTATTTTATGTGTGAATCCTTTATACGCAGCATTACCCTTTGTTTTCATGCTACCGTACATATTATCGATATAAAATCGTAGAATATTGTTCCAAATGCCCTGTATTACTCCCCACAATTCGTGTTCCTTAGGAAACAATCAGAGAATGCCACATCCAGTATAACTCTTATAAAAATACCAGCGTACATACTCTACCCAGTCGAGCCCGGCATGGCCAGGTGGTTAGGGAGCTCGACTCGCAATCAGAGGGTCGCGGGTTCGAATCTCCGTAACACCAAACATGCTCGCCCCTTTCAGCCGTGGGGGCGTTATAATGTGACAGTCAATCCCACTATTCGTTGGTAAAAGAGTAGCCCAAGAGTTGGCGGTGGGTGGTGAGGACTAGCTGCCTTCCCTCTAGTCTTACACTGCTAAATTAGGGACGGCTAGCGCAGATAGCCCTCGTGTAGCTTTGCTCGAAATTCAAAAACAAACAAACTCTACCCAGTAGTAGTAAAGTAAATCCAGTCAGTGTAGAAATCAATACGTTTTGTAGTCAACAATACGTCATACGAAAAATTGTGGGAAGATCCAAGGTTAACAGGTAGCGGTTGTAATGTGAGACTCAAAAGAGGATACGTGAAGCTGTCAGTGTTAAAAATATAAGTGGTCGAGTTGGAAAAATAAACTCTCCAAAAGTAACGTAAAATGTCTCGAAATTTATTCCTTACGAGATAAACAACGGTCGAACATAGATATTATCAACAACACTGCTACAAGTACAGGCGATGATATCTCGAGAACAGTAAGATACGCTTTAGCATAAAGTGATCTCAATGAAAGACTAGTTACTCGAAAAGCGTTATTGAGAAAAAGTAACTAACTCAAAATGCTAACAGAGCATTAGACCACAGATGTGGAACAATAAAAATAATTATTCTGCAACAATCAACAACAACAACAACTTATTCAACATCAACAGTGAAGCATGGTGTGGGATCAGCATAAGTTTGAGGCTGAATCTCAGCCAATGATGTTGATGATCTACACGAAATTGATGGCACCCTGACTGCTGACAACTGCATGCTGATTCTGATCCATCAATGCATTGAATAACAACCAGTCACAATGTAACTTTTCAACGCATGACTTTATTCTGGTGCAATTGTTTTCACGTGATACCCTTTTCCTATCTCGTTTCCATAATTATTTCAAATACTGAATATAGGTGTGTAAGCATATACTTGTACGTGTATCTTTTTTTTTGTCCTCTGACGGGACAATGGTAAATCTACGTATTTACAACGCTAAAATCTTGGATTCGATTCCTCGTGGTGGACACAGCATTTAGCCCAATGTGGCTTTGCTCTCAAACAAATAAAGTGTCTTTTTTGTGATAATTAATCGGATACATGCTAATATACAAACATGTCTGCATCATATTGTAAAATTAGTTATGCACATAAACATTAAAACATCATCAAGTTACCTGAACATTTCAAGATATTGTTACATAATCGAGTGATATTACCAGGGCAAGAAACTTCTCCTATCAAGTTTCAATTAATTAAATTTAAGAGAGTTCCACATATTTTTCAGAGAACAGGGTACTATATATAAAATGTATGATGTTGTTCTGTTAAATGACATACAAAGGTAATAGATTACGATAAACAAAGGCTTACTTTTACAACATTTAAGATCTGTCTATCTACCTTCTAGTGTTCCTGTTTCAGAGTCCAAAAGAAAACACAATGTTGTATCATCTGTAGTGCATGACATTTACTCCGTCAGCTTGAGTGACGTCATTATCAGTTGCTTTTTAGGGAACTGCAAGAAGACACGCGATCAGAACATGTCGAGCTATCAGTAGATATGTTACAACTCACGTGGCCTGGGGACGGTTTCCATAGTAACTAGCGTGCTCTTCAAGTGGTAGCGTGATGCATAGTTAATTGAAGCATAAGGTAAGACTAGGCCGGAGAACACGAGATTTGCACAACGAAGGAAAAAGGATAATGTTTGAACTATCCTACTACAAGGTCTGTTTCTACGTATAAGCACGGACGATCGAACAATGGAACGAGAAATACACCACTTATGCTATCTTCTATTAGGTATACATAATACTGAGTTCTTCAGCTATACCTCCACTCTAGGTAAGTTGCAACGATAAGTATGATGCTATGTTTAAACGTTGTTCCACTATGTTGTGTATTCAATCTCCTTATTTATCTACTTTTATTAACTACTGTATATTCTAATGTACATGAACGTTAACAGCATGTTATCTTTGATATAAAATTCAAAAGTTACTCGAAAATTAAACTACTATGCTTTGTTTGTAGTTAAAAGCAAAGCTACACAATAGGCTATCTGAGCTGTGCCCACCAGGGATATCGAAATCTGGGTTTTAGCGTTATAAGTCCGCAGACTTGTCGCTGTGCCACTGGTGGGTGGGGTGGGGACAAACTATTATGTAGTTCAGTTTTTACGAACTTACAAAACTATTGCTGCCTATTTAGTGTCATAGAAGACAGCCTGTAATACAGAATCCAGTAACGGCTCAACGAACTTACAAAACTATTGCTGCCTGTTTAGTGTCATGAAAGACAGGCTGTAACACAGAATCCAGTAACGGCTTATCGAACTTACAAAACTATTGCTGCCTGTTTAGTGTCATGAAAGACAGGCTGTAACACAGAATCCAGTAACGGCTTAACGAACTTACAAAACTATTGCTGCCTATTTAGAGTCATGGAAGACAGGCTGTAAAACAGAATCCAATAACGGCTTAACGAACTTACAAAACTATTGCTGCCTATTTAGAGTCATAGAACACAGGCTGTAATACAGAATCCAGTAACGGCTTAACGAACTTACAAAACTATTGCTGCCTATTTAGAGTCATAGAACACAGGCTGTAATACAGAATCCAGTAACGGCTTAACGAACTTACAAAACTATTGCTGCCTGTTTAGTGTCATGGAACACAGAATCCAGTAACGGCTCGGGAATTGTTTTACAACTTTTTCTGTAGCACTCAGTTCTACCGTGGATGTATTTTGAAGACTCGATCTTAAGTCAACAGTGAGAAATTGGGGTAAAACTTAATTCTTACGTTGAACGAATTAAAATTTGTTCAGTACTAAAACTTCACGTGATTTATATATAGAAAATAAAATAAAATGTTGTCTAATTAATTTTATAGGAATTGTTAGGATGTCTGGATTTTTAACATGTTAAATCTCTTAGTGTTTCTAAAACAAACTGTATCTTTCTTTTGGGTTATCAACTGTGAAAACTCACTCCTTGCACACGTTCTGAAAAATAGTAGAGTAGCTGGAAAGGCTAAAGTAGTTAAGACTACAAACCAAACTGCCTATCAGACTATTCTGATCCTTATTATTTTGAAAGGCAGCTAAAAAGTTAGACTATCTAAACCGCCTCTTCTCATTATCTTTGAAACTATCTTGATACGTATTGTTTTGAAACGCAGCTGAGACGCTAGAGTAACTTAAACTTTTTACCAGATTGCCTCTGTGATTATTCTAATCCGTATTGTTTGAAGCGAAATGACAAAATTTTCAAGATGCATAACTAAACATATCAAACATGTTACCTTTGAACTTTGAAACTATTACCAGCCATGGAGCATGTAGATGACGAACTTGAAGACTATACAATATCCGATAGGTTAAACACTACACAGTATATAGTAGGTCACATTAAACACTACACAGTATATAGAAGGTCAAGTTGAACAATATACAGTATCTAGTAGGTCAAGTTGAACACTATACAGTATCTAGTAGGTCAAGTTGAACAATATACAGTATCTAGTAGATTAAGTTAAACACTGCACAGTATATAGAAGGTCAAGTTGAACAATATACAGTATATACTAGGTCAAGTTGAACACTATACAGTATCTAGTAGGTCAAGTTTAACAATATACAGTATCTAGTAGATTAAGTTAAACACTACACAGTATATAGAAGGTCAAGTTGAACAATATATAGTATATAGAAGGTCAAGTTGAACAATATACAGTATCTAGTAGGTCAAGTTGAACAATATACAGTATCTAGTAGGTCAAGTTGAACAATATACAGTATCTAGTAGGTCAAGTTGAACACTATACAGTATCTAGTAGGTCAAGTTGAACACTATACAGTATCTAGTAGATTAAGTTAAA